CGGACGGGATGTGATATGGAGCCAACCAAGAACGTGTGTTTCTCATGTCTTTGTCTTCCAAGGTCAACTAAAAGCTAGTCTAGTATATATGTCCCTGTTCAATTAGCTCTCTAGAATAATGCAGTGCACGTATCGTGGTAACGGTGTACGTATCAATCTAGTACTCTATATATGCTGACCGCCACACCAAAACAAGGACCCAGCATGTATTGACTTCCAAGACGCTCCTCACGCCAACTTTTCTTAAGCAGCAATGCTGCCCGTACAAGCGCTTATCACAAGAAGGGATCAAAGGACAAATTAAAGATGCCAATCAAGCAGCTGCCGAAAGAGTTGAAAGAAGAAGGAATGGAAATTTTAATATTGGTAACACGTCTCTGTATTATAAGGAGGTCAAACAAGTTATTACCTCTCTGGCTAGCAAGTAAGTAATATGTTTATCAAAGATTCCCTGTGACGATTGTAAGCTGCAACTTGGAAGTTTATTAAAAGGAGGAAAATGTGGCGCTAAGACAGGAAAGTCTAGCTGCCGGCCGCCAGCCAGTTGTTTACACAACGAGACAAACTTACACCCTGATCTAGTCATCCTTGTGAGTTGGTACCCGCTGCATTCATGCCTTCATGGTTATCTCGTCGTCATGTTATAAAATACTTCATTTTTTTGGAACGTTATAAACATTAAACATATTTTCATCCATGTGAACAACCGCCATTTGCACCCGAGCTCACCATGAGCTTAATTGGCAAGAATGATTACAGTGCTTGAAAGAAGAAACATACCCCCCCCCCTTCCCCACCCCCACCGCCACCACCAAAAGAAAGGTATCACAAGCTCTACATCGAGCGGTACGCGTAGGTATCAGATAAATGGTTGAGTATCACGTGTATGAGATATTGTGTGCAAAATGGTGCATTTTTTTGGCATGCCCCTTTTAGGTATCATCAAATGTATTTTGGGGTTTTTTATCTGAATGAAATTGGCAGAGCTCCTGCCTTGCATTTAAAAAACAGCATCGATGCAGGAGTAATCATGTCCACTAGCATTTATCATAACTAGCTAATTGTCCGTGCGTTGCAACCGGCACATACTCTAGTGGTGCAACTTCAATCTTGTTCGACATATACCTTACATCACTTTTGGTAATATTTAATTTGGTGAGAGTATAGGTAGGAGAAGGCAAGGCAAATTTTGATTTTTGTTGAGATTTTGGTAAGATTAATTTGGTTTGATTTGATTGAATTAATGCATCAGGAGGTTTTGGGAAAGTATCGATTTGGTTTAGATTATTCCAAGTGAATATATTTATGTTAGTTTTTTACTTTGTATGGCATCGGTTCAGGTTAAAAAAAACAACATGAAACCAAAGGGGGTGGGGAACGTGGGAGGAAAAATCAGGTGGGAAGTGGAGGCGACACTGCCAACCCCCCTTCAATAGTAGAAATATGCTGAAAACTTGTACTAAGCCTAATGACAATGAAAACTTGTTTACTACCCCCTCCGATCCAAAATAAGTGTCGTGGTTTTAGTTCAAATGTTGCAACAACATTTGAACTAAAACCACGACACTTATTTTGGATTGGAGGGGGTACACATGTTATATATGAAGGAGCACATCTACTACATTTTTATGATGTTTGTAGAATACTTGTTGACCTTTACACGCCCAAGGGGAAGATGAGACATGCTCATGTGGTCATGTGCAGCGGGAGGAGAGAGAGGAAGGTCGGTAGCAACATCAAACATATTCAAGCACCGACATATGAATAGTTATAAAGTACGAGTCTACTATCAAATGAAACAAACAGTGCATGATTACGATCTACCTTGTGAAATAATGTTTTTGGAGGTGACGGTTGCACAAGGAGTTTTCAATAACAACCAGAAATTGGTGTACCTGAGAAATTAAGCTCACGTAGCCCAAGTGTAGGTGGAATCTTACTTTCACATGACCATTAGGAGACTACCAAAGCCTTCTTTGATATGTTACAATTTGGGTTGAGGCGGAAAAAACAAGAGAATTGAAGGAAAGAAGAGTTGAAGTCAATCCAAATTGCCAAGAGATCTAAATTTTGGACCAACACGGTTTTCTCATGCGGTGCCAAATAAGAAACATGTACTCCCTTCGTAAACTAATACAAGAGTGTTTTGCACTCAATCCAAATTGCCAAGAGATCTAAATTTTGGACCAACACGGTTTTCTCATGCGGTGCCAAATAAGAAACATGTACTCCCTTTGTAAACTAATACAAGAGTGTTTTGCACTCAATCCAAATTGCCAAGAGATCTAAATTGTGGACCAACACGGTCTTCTCATGCGGTGCCAAATAAGAAACATGTACTCCCTTCGTAAACTAATACAAGAGTGTTTAGATCACTATTTTACTTTACTGATCTAAATGCTCTTATATTAGTTTACAAAGGGAGTACAATGGAAAAGATAATTCCGTACTCTTTAGAGTGGATACAATATGTTTTCTCATATTCGTGTGGGGAAGTCAACAACTAGAACTGATAGTTTCCAAAATAGTGTCCTCGTAATTTATAAAAGGAAATTGAGAGAGAGAGAGAGAGAGAGAGAGAGAGAGAGAGAGAGAGTTTGCAAGCTTAAGGATTTATTTCCCAAAATTCTGGGATTATTGCCACATGTCCTAAAATCACACAAGTCCTGGCCACAAAGGCCCACTTGTACTTCTTGACCCCTAAATTTCGAATGTTGCACAAAATAGATATATTATGTCGTGATGCTAACTTATTAATTAGATATTGTCATTTAAAATAATATTCAATATATAAGTTTGCTTAGCATTGGATGTTAGTTTAGCCTTTGCACTAAGCTTTTATTCTTATTGTTAAATATCCGCACATCCGTCAGCAATGGTAGTAGCCAGTTTCTCTCACTCTCAATATCTCCTTACTAGGTATGGATCTGTAATTGTATTTGATACGTCTCCAACGTATCTATAATTTTTTATTGTTTTATACTATTATATTATTTGGTTTGAATGTTTTATATGCATTAATATGCTATTTTATATTATTTTAGGACTAACCTATTAACCTAGAGCCTAGTGCCAGTTTTTATTTTTTCCTTATTTTTGACTTTTACAGAAAAGGAATATGAAACGGAGTCCAAACGGAATAAAGCTTTACGATGATTCTAGGGCGCTTGTGGCCTCCTCGTGACTCTTCTGGCCCTCTCTCCAAGCCACGTAGGTGTCTTCTGGTCCAACAAAAATCATCGTAAAGCTTTATTCCGTTTGGACTCCGTTTGATAATCCTTTTCTGTAAAAGTCTAAAACGAGGAAAAAAACAGAAACTGGCACTAGGCTCTAGGTTAATAGGTTAGTCCCAAAAATAATATAAAATAGCATATTAATGCATATAAAATATTCAAAACAGATAACACAGTAGCATGGAACAATCAAAGATTATAGATACGTTGGAGACGTATCAATGGGCTACGTGCGGATATGTGTGGCATGCCATATACCCTGCCCATCACCCGCATTTGCATGGCTTTTTGTGTCTCATGTGTCGCTGCCGGGACATGGTGAGTTGCCTCTGTGCTCGGCACATGTGTAAAAGGTGGCAGCGGCGGTACAAGTGTGTTGCTGAGACGTGGTGAGTTGCCTTTGTGCATGATTGATACGTGTATAAAATGTGACGGCATTGATCTCTACAGCTTTGGGTGGGTAGGTGGATGGCGGTCATGCGTTGTTGCCTTATGCCGCCAACCTTCTGCTCGTCTGCATATGCCATCAACACCTCTCAAACAAAAAGAAAGAAAACATATGACAACGAAAAGGGCCCCCGAACGAAGAGCGGCGCGGCAAAGCGCACACCACTTTCTACTCATATCAATTATACTGTAATTTTGGAAGAAATGCACTTAATTTCTAGAGAAACAAAGAGAATATGATTCACAGTGGAGCTAGAAGCTAGCCAATTACGGTAATATTTATTATCATAGTCATCAAGTTAGTCAATTCTTAAATGTTGATTGAACTATAGTGCCCCCTAGAAAAAGATTGGGGTGCATTGGGGCTAGCACCGCTGGCCCCGGCCGTAAGTGGATGATCAACTCCGTAGGGTTGTGCCTACTTGCAAGTATGTGTGGCGTGTGTATGACTCTTTGCGTCTTACGTGCCAATACTGGTGTGAGTGCGTTGCCGAGATGTGATGAGTTGTCTATGTGCATGGTCAGCATGTGTGTCAAAGGTTCTTTGCGCCTTACGTGCCGGTGCTAGTACGTGTGCACTGTTGGGATGTGGTGAGTTGCATGTGTATATGGCTGGCATGTGTGTGAAAGGGCCGGTGATGGTCTCTATCAAATTTTGTCGTCGTTGTGTGTGGG